GGGGGGGGGGCCGAGGGGTTTCTGCGAAGAGTGACTTGGTGGTACGGCGGGTTGTGGACGTGAGACGCGAGGACCGAGCAGTGGCTGGTGTATGTATGTATGTGTGGGCAGGGGTAAAAACATGGGTTTGTTTCCCCCTGGTGGCAACACACATTCCTTCTCTTTTCCGCACGCCTCTGCCCACATGCCACTCTGTCCCTGCTGCTCCTCCTCACACCCCCCCCATGAGTCACTAACCCAGGTGAGTGCGTGTACAGCTTATCGCATACATGCACATGTCGTACATGTCGTACATGGCCACATGACATCTTTGTACAAACATTTCTCGTGCGCTGTACTGCAATGTACTGCAATGTACTGCAATGTACTGCAGCGGGACGCCATCATCATGGCCGGCTGCGTCACGCAGCTGGTCCTCAATGCCGTACTGCTGTACCAGTCCATCGCCACACCAGGGGAGCAGCTCCGTACGGCATCATCACCACCACCACCACCACTTGGGGCTACAGCTGATGGCGGTAGTGCTACTGCTACTGGTACTACTGCTACTGCTGCAGCTACTACTACTGCGATCGCATCGGCCATAGCGGCATCAGACCCTGCCGTAGGAGGAGGCGCTGGGGGGGCGCTTGGACAGGCGGTTGCGGTTGCGGTTGCAACACCCAACGGTAACAACATTAACTACCGCTAGCAATGTCGGCACCAGGGCTAGTCGGAGTGCCGACATTGTGTTCGGAGGGGCGCTGGGAACGGGCGTCGGTGGTGGCAGTGGCAGTAGCGGTGGTGGCAGTGGCGGTGGCAGTGGCAGTAGCGGTGGTGGTGGTGGCAGTGGCAGTAGTGGCACTGTTTCTCCCTTGGCCATTCCAGCTGCGGCCGCAGCGTGAGCACTTGCCTTCAACGAGCCAAGAGGTCGCGGCGGGGTGTGCACCCCCCACGACAAGTATCGAGTTCCCCAATTCGCTTGCCCGGGCCGTGTAGTGATGTGAGGGTTTCTGGGTATGAGGGTGTGGGTATGAGGGCGGCGCAAACGGCGGCGGCGTGTCGGGCGCGCGAGAGAGCGCGGCGGCCTGTGTCTGCTGAGTTCTGGTCGGGGTGCTTGCTTTCTTACCTTGCGTCCCTCGTGCAGGAACAATCGCACGGGAGTGGAGATGTGGTTTGAGACCGGTTTCCCATGAACAAATGTATTTTTATGTACGACTGTACGGCGCTCAGTTAGTTGCATCATCGTCATTTTATCTGCCGATCTTGGCCAAGATTTATTAGGACAGAGAGAGAGCGAGAGAGCGAGGGGGGCAGGCACGTGTATATCTGTGTGTATATATACACAGAAAAGAGGGGTGCAGATTCAAATTCAAATTCAAATTCAGATGCACAAGAAGAGATAGAGAGCGAGCCCTTTCTGAAAGGAGCTGACTCTCCGTGACGGCCACACATTTGTAGAGGTGGAGAAGGGAGAGGAGGGGCTTGCGAGCTGCTGCAGAAAAGAAAGGTTCTTCGTGCTGCGAAGAACGAGAGGGAGGAGCGAGAGTCCCATGTGCTTAACCTAGCACGCACGTCTCTAGTCTCTGTACGACTGCGTACGACATTCTACGGCACCCTGACTGTTATCGTTTGGGGCAGGGTCTGCGAGTGACTTTCAGGTTTTTTCTAATATGAATGACCTTTTATCGCGCCCTGGGGTGCGAACATCTCGACAGGTCACAGGTTTTTGCCAGTTGGCACTTGGCATTTATTCACGCACGTCATATTGAAACTATTCGTAGTGGATTTACTACGAATCTTTTTAGGTGGTGGTGGACCAGGTGCCGCATCTGGAGAGAGCACACATACGCGAGAGAGGGGGAGGGGTGATGGTGAAAAAAGCAAGGGATGGAATGGTACTCTATAGAACAATTAACTAAAACTATGTTCCACCTGGCTGGCAACAACGCTTCTTCTGTGTAACTCACACACCGACAGCACTTCGTGCAGCTAAGTGGCTCAAAGCTTCATATGTGCTCGCTCTCCGGCATAATTGCACCCTTGTTGGCGGGATCGATCCCCACGTGGTTTCTCTGACCCAAGTATACCTCTCTTGCGCGCGGGGGGAAGGGATAACGTCTGCTCGTTCCGGTATTAATGCATACGCATGCATAGGCGCTCTTAGGTGCGCATAAGCATCATGCGCACTGGAGTATACCATGGGATGCGTTCATGAGTTTGATCAGCATTGACTGGTGCTGGGAGACTCGCGCCTGCTGCAACTGAAGCCCTTGTCGGTGTGGGACTTTGACGGGCTTTGCTTGGCGTCTGCCGAACAATGTGAGATGACCGCTGTGGAGGTTTTTTTCGCTTTTTGAGATGCGATGCTCCCCCTGGGAAACCGAGGGCACCCAGGCTTTTATCGTTTCCGGATGTTGCACACGGTTGCGTTGAAAAAATTACAGAGACTTAAATGCTCGCAACAACGGTGGTACGACAGCAAGTGAACTCCAACATACCGAGCATCTGCGCAATTCAGTCCCTCTCTCTCAATATCATTTTAACGTCTCTTCGCTAAGGTAGCGAGTAGAGACAACCAAGAGCCAGCCAAACTACACCGACCCACCGGAGCCAAGAAACAACGAAGCGTACCCAGTAATGGAAAACGAGGTATGAAATTTGTTTCCTTATTGGCCAGCCTTTGCCCAGTCATCGGCATCTGGGCCGCAAGAGCGGTGTCGGCGGGTTGACCGGCTGAGAGAAGGCGCGACTGAAGGCGCTCCTTGCCTTCGTCGGGATTTAAGCGACTAATAGCGTCTTTGTCATCTTAATTCGTGCTAGTTTTGAGCAATGGCTGATAAGGAAAACTTGCAAGCATACTGGGTCGACCGACCCATCATAACAAGCAGCGACCGACGGACCAGTTAGACACACCTAGAAGAGCGACAAGTCATCCTTGTGAATGGTTCATTGCAATGAAGCGAAGGCAGAGCACCCGTCTCAGAGCCGGACCAAGTCCATCGCATCTGACTTTCCGACCTTGTTGTTTGACTTGCTTGTAGTCGGCACCGGCGAGGCGCGTGATTGAACGCGACGGGGAGGAGATGGATCCCCCAGACAGACCGGTGAGTGGTTAGAGCGAGAGACCAGGGGGTAAAGATCACGGCAGCGCGCACCCGTGCACTCGGATCCCAAAACGCGACGCAATGCGAACTCGGCAACGCGAGAAGGATTACGTTTCCGTTTGGCGAGGAAGTACACCGGCAGCGAAGATAAACG